GCCTTGACCTAGATAGAATCTTGTCAGATCTCGGAAGCTAAGCAGCGTCAGTCCCTGTTTAGTACTTGGCGGGGGAATCACCAAGGAGGAAGTCCACAGTTGCTACACACAGGCAGGCAATGGCAAAACATCTCTGTTTGTCTCTTTCCTTGAAAACCCTACAGGGTCACCATAAATTGGCTGTGACTCGATGGCTCTTTCTACTTCCACACACAGACCCTAGACCAACCATTAATACAATGTTTATCTCCCCCCTCCTCAGAAACAATCTGATATACTAGCAACCTGGAATTAATTAGAATCCCTTATCGAGGATCACCTGTATGCCAGTTGACATGATTCTATTGGGAGGGGACTTCAATGCCAGAGAAGTCCAAACGATGAGATTCTCATCGAAAAGTTTGGATCCGTTATTTGTACCAACAAGGTAAAATGTAACAACATTCACCACCAACGCCTCTCGAAGGATCCTAAGGTAAATTTTGCTGGGACCTGCTTAGCAAGGATTGCAAGAAAGTTTGATTTTTCCATACTAAACGGCGCTACAGTAGGTGATTACCTTCTGGGCAGGATCTAGATATAGCACCATTGATTACTTTTTGACCAGCTCCAGATTACTTCCCAGGGTTGTACGGCTACAGGTTCTACCCGATCTCATGAGCGACCACCTTCCACTTCTACTTGCCTTGGCTCCCTTGGTCCCTCAGACCCCCTATAACTCTGTATCAGGTCCCCGCTCAGTACCAGCTCATCAAGTGGGTTGTCGTGCCAAGTGGTCGGTTCACTTGGCCCAAAGAGTGAAAGGAATCTTGGAAGACAAGGTTGCTTGTACAAGAAGAGCTGCAATTATGGACAGTTCTTACGACCAGAACCCATTGATCCCGTTCGATCATCTGCTCCTACTCTTGAGACCACTGCTAGCTCAAGTTGCCTCTGCTCGAAGACGGATATCCAAGAGACACTCCAAGCCCTGGTTCAACAAAGATTGCCAGAGAGCAAAACGAGAGCTAGTTGTCGCCTACCAAGATTATAGGAACTCTGTGGGCCCAGACACCCTGTGTGCACAAAATCGTCTTCTATTTTTAAAGAAGACATACAAAAAGCTGGTGGCAACAAAGAAACGTGAGGATATGAAGATACTTTGGAACAAGATAATACAGTCATCTAAAGAGAGGATCACAACCCAGTTCTGGAAACTGATTGAAAGCCAATCCTTCAAAGACTTTTCTCCTATTGACTCATTTGTCTCTCCTGAGAACTGGGAAGTATTTTTTTCGGAAACCATTAATACAAGGTGGTATAATGGAAATGTGGAAAGGGTCTGAAGAGGAACGACAAAAAAGCTGGGATACAGAGTGGTTCAGAAAGCCAGCAGAAGACTCTGTGTAACTGATTCATGCACACGTGTTCTGCAGCACTGTTAATCCACCCCCCCATGTGCTTCCCATATTACACTGCAAACCACTTAAAAGGATAAAGATGCCTGCTTTGCATATAGAGTTTACTCTGGTCTGTGACATATCAACATCATGATCTCCATAAAGATGAAAAACAGATTCCAGACTGAAAGTCAATTTACTTGCCTTTTCTGTGGAGCTGCTGCTCTAATATTCAGAATTATTCTGAACTAGCATAATTTATTCTGATAACAATATGTCACGGAGAACAAAACTAGAATAAGTTTCCTAATGACACTGTTCAAACAGGGCAAAGCTGGAGTGGAACATTAGCTACAGGGATAAGGAGTTTTTGCTTCCTTCTGGTAGGAACTATGAAGGAGGGAAGAAGCCAAACAAGACAAACTTGCCCTGCAAATCCAAACCTCTTTAAATTTCTGAACCTTCACTCAAGCACTAAAAAACTGAGGGCAACTTCCCTCACTACAGTTTCATATATACTCAAAAGTACTTGAGCATGAATATGTGCATTTTTAATGAGAGATTCTGTTCCACAGATAGTTTTTTCTGGACTGATGAACAAACCTAAGAACAGAAGTATGGATTGTCTTGCAGCTATGTTCTACAGGCAGATAAAGGTGACAGAATACCTATTCTCAGGGCTTTTTTCCTGGCGGAACGCACCAGAATGGCATTCCGGAACATCTTTGTGGAAACAAACTTCTTTAAAAAAATGTTTAAAAGTTCATGAAGGGCACTGGGGGAGAATGATATCACTTGTGACATCACAAAAATATTAAAACAGAATTTAAAAAAATAAGGTTTAAACAAGGGGATGCCCAGTAGCAGCTGCGGAAGAGCAAAAAAAAGAAGCAGCCAGACTTGTTGCTCTTGCCAAGGGCAAGGGCTGCAAGCCAGGGAGAGTCTGGGGCAGGTTCGGGCATGTCAAAGAGAGACCCTTTTCCTGCCCAAACCGGGCCAGGAGTTCTCTTCACCAAGAGGCTGGCTAGCTACAGTTACAAAGGGGTTAAAGGCACCTGTTTTACCTTTAACCAGGTAGTGCTACCACCAGTCCTTTTATGTCCCTCCAGTTCAGAGCCAAAGGACAGACTCTAGACCTTACTGAATTCAATGAGGGAATCCACCCAGCGAAGTTGGCTCACAGCAGGAGACCCACAGGTTATTCTAGAGGTAGTAACTGACAGTCTCAGGCACCAAATAACTCATTGCAGCAGTGCAGACAGAAACCAGAATTGGTAAATAAAATATATAGTTATTTAAGTGCAGAGTATGATTAATAAAAAGTGCAGAATTACTTAAATAATATTGTGGGGAATAAAACAAGCAAGCTAAAGTTTAACACACTAGCTAAACACCTATAGAGCCTTGGTTCTCAAAGTCAATATGTTACCCATTCAGTTCTGGGTCCAAAGTGTACTCCATCTCCAGTGTCCCAAAAGCCAGGCTGGTTGGCTTCAGCAATCAGAATTTCCAAGATGGCCAAAAGGTGAGCAATACAGAGTTACATGTCAGCTTCACATGCAACACCATAATGTCCCCTGGAGTTAAGGTAACTTATTTATTGTCTGAACCCCAGACTGGTTGCTAGGCCTGGGCACCAATCAGGGTTCAAGCAACATCTTCCAGATACAAGATGGCCAATCAAGGAAAGGGTGACATCATTTGTTTCTGATTGGTCTCTGGTCATGTCAGAAGAGCAGTTGATGTGATCTGCAGTTTCACAGCACCAGTCCTTCCCACAGAACTTAACTGCTTTGGAATGTTAAAGAGCCAAGGCCATAGAAGAACATCTTATCTTGCAGGTGCAGAGATAGTCTTCCCCAGCACGACTGTGTGAACTAAGGAGACTTCAAGACAACATTTTTAACAAGAGCAGGGTGCAGCCAAACCTTTAAAGCAGACTCCATTTTGAGTGAACCAAAGTTCTTGACAGGGTGGGAGAGAGAAAATTAACTGCAGCCTACCCAATGGAGCCTTTTCTCCCCCTGTTACAGTGTGCCCTGGCTGCTGCTCCATGCGCTGACTCCCACGTGAGTCAGCGCATGGAGCCCCAGTGGGCTCAAGCTGAAGCTACTCAGCTACGCCCCCCCCCCGGCTCGCTCCTCTCCTGTGCAGAGGTCCGTGTGGACTTTGCAGAGTGTTTCTTGCATTGTCCTTGGCCAGCTCCCCTGCTGCACCTCAGTGTGGTGGGGGTGGAGCGTGGGCTGCCCCTTGCTGGCTCTGCCTGGCAGAGCAGCTCTACCTGGGCAGCCAACCAGGCTGCTGCCATTTTTACCTTCTAGCTTCTGACTTCCCATGGCCTCCGCTGCTCCCTCTTAGTGAGTGTGAAAGAGGATTTTCCCAGATGAACCCGATAGTCACTCCAGAAAGGTCCTCCTTGTCAGTCAAAACCATAACATCTTTATTGTTTATAAAAATTGTTGGAACTCCCTTAACAGTCTTTGATCCAACAAAGTATGTTAAAACACGGTTGCTTCAAGGTCATCATTCAGCATTAGGCACCCAAAAAAAAGCCCCCAAAAAGAACTGAGGAAGTTGGTGACATGTCTAAAGTTTGGAAACTGCTTTAAAGTTGAGGTAAGTCTGTAGCACATGAAAATAATATTGTTTCAAAGAATCCTCCTTCATTTCCCTCTTGAGAAAAGAATATTGTTTCAAAGAATCCTCCTTCATTTCCCTCTTGAGAGTTCCCGCACCTCTTTTTCCAGAAAAAAAAGCCATGCCAATTCTTATATTTAAAAATATACATGTCTTCCTATACGTGTCTCAGTTTATCCACAATTGTAAGGCCAGACATGAATGCAAGCCATGAGAGTTATTTTTTTAAATTAAAAATTCCTCTAGAAATCCATTGATTGCCTCAGCTATTGATAATCTGTTGAATGAAGCTACCTTCTACTGGGTTATTTTCCAACTCTAAGTGTTGGAGAATACATGTTTCTCAAGAATAGAGGATTATGAGCATGCTTTTTCAGTTATTTGGAAGGGTCATCAAACAACTTGTAACCAAGTCCCCACCCCGCCCAAAAAAATCACACTAACTGCTCCTTGACTTGAGGGATAATTTTCTTGATAAAACACTAAATCTTCTTCTAAGAGAAAGACCTGATGAAGCTCAGTTCTCTTGAATGTATTTTACTATGTACACGCTCTCTCCCTAGAATGCATTGGCTCCTTCTAACTACAAACATTCCAGCTCTTGTTTCCCCAGAAGATTAACTGTTGTCAGTTTCCTAGGCCCTTCTATACTGCTAGCCTTCCTTTTCAGCTTGCTCCTGCAGGTTGATTCCTTCGGTCCATTTCTTCCAGGTGTGCAAACCATTAAGACTTTTCTCCCCCACCAAAGATGGAGCAGGATTCTGCATCATTTCCTGCTCTACCTCTCACTACTAACAGGTAGACATGAAAAATGAGAACATGCACACCTATGAGATTTATCTCTAAGACCTTCAGGGTTAGCTGACTTGCAGTTAACCCACCATTTGAGAGAACGGCGTGTACATCATTACTCCCCCACCCCCCCATTTCCATGTTAAAAAGTTTTTTATTTCCATGACAGAGGAATGATTGCATATACTGTACCTCCTCTGGCAGGCTGACCACCAGGTCATTTTCCGTCTGCCCGACTAACACCTGCAAGAAGTATTCGCTGCATGCTGCCAGCACAGCTCGCTGGGCTCGGACCTCTTGCCCCTCCACAATCAAAGTCACATCACAGAGAATATCCTGCTTCCGCTGGTCATTGAGGCACAGGAGGATATTGGTACAATGGACTGTTGACTCATACACATACATGGGGGATTCAGTCTTCTCATCCACAGACATTCCGTTCACACCCTAAAATAGAAACAGCAAACAATAAGGGAGAGAGATAGGGCTGAAGAGTTATCACAGTGCTTGCAAAGAAAGGAAGATTACATCATGATCTCTGTGTCCTGCATGATTTAGCCAGCTCTCTGAAGAACTGCTGATCAGCACTTTAATTCTTAGTCAGAACAAAGAGCTCAAGAAATGCGATATAAGGCAACTGCACTACATGCTCTTACTCTTCCCGCAATACTGAATCAAGAACAGTTTTTTAAACACATGGAAAGCTATAACTCAACTCAGCTTTTAATAAATATGAGCTGTGGGTAGGGAAGGAAAGAAAAAGGAAAAAAATAATTTGTGACAGGCTTTTTGGCTGAGACAGACTTTTAAACTCATGGACATTTCAATTTAATATTATGGCACAAAGTTAGCATTTATTAGCACTATTTAGAATGACTTGCCGTGACCCAAAATGCTGTGAGAGGGTGAGTGTTTCATCCCAAGGACTACAAAACTACTGAATGTGAAATTGTTTACTGTTCAATCCTATTTAAGAAAATTAAAATACTTTTACAGGACTGTTGCTAGTTCATAAAATCAACAAAATAGTTCAAAAAATCAAGCCTCACTACACAGAGGCGGAAAAAGAAGAAACAGGAAAAGAAATAATGGAACATAATGGATGAATGTACTCCAAAGTACAAATATTAGAAGACACACAAAGATGAAAAAGGCTTTATTAAAATGGAAATGACAAAAGAATACCACTGAAAATTCTATTGCACTGCACAAGACCTATCTTAGGAAGAAGAAGAGGAGGAGGAGGAGATCGGATTTATACCCCGCCTTTCAATTGAAGCCTCAGAGTGGCTTACAAACTCTTTTCCCTTCCCCTCCCCACAACAGAAACCCTGTGAGAAGAAGAAGAAGAGGAAGAGATTGGATTTATACCCTGCCCCTCACTACCCATGGGAGTCTCAGAGCGGCTTACAAACTCCTTTCCCTTCCCCTCCCCACAACAGGGGCTGAGAGAGCTCTGACAGAAACTGCTCTTTTTCAAGAACAGCTGTGCCAGAACTATGGCTTACCCAAGGTCATCCAGCAGGTGCAAGTGGAGGAGTGGGGAATCAAACCCGGTTCTCCCAGATTAGAGTCCGCGCACTTAACCACTACACCAAACTGGCTGTCCTGAGGTAGGCAGGGCTGAGAGAGCTCTTTCCAGAACTGTCCTTGAGAGAACAGCTCTGACAGAACCTATGGCTAGCCCAAGGTCATCCAGCAGCTGCAAATGGAGGAGTGGGGAATCAAGCCTGGTCCACACACTTAACCAATACACCAAACTGGCTCTCATATATGATAGCATAAACATTAAACTAATCCTCTCTTGGTGAAAGACCTTACCAGTCTACCTCAGTATACCGATTGGCTTGGGACTAAACATCTGTGGTTCTTTGGAGCACTGTTCCCCAGTGTGTCCCCACCATGTTCCAGCAACGTCATTGTGATTGGCAGGTGGTTCCCACCTTGAAAGAGCTGCTGCTGTAGGGACGCCCTGAGATGTGGGGCTTGTGTCAGAGATGGAGGAAAGGGCCCATCCACTCCAACAACCCTCCACTCATTCCACAGCCTTGCATCCCAGCAACTAGGCAGCTGCAAGGAGAAGAGCAAGCCAGCTACAGAGAACAAAGAACAGAGCCACCTAGGAAAAGAGCAAGCTGACCACAGTGGGGTGGAGGTGGTTTTATTCACCTTTCTCCATGACCAGCTAGCTCTCCTCTGGGAACATCATCCCTTATACTGAGGAGATAGAGCTGGCTAAGGTTCAATAGTAACTGGGGAGAGTCAACCCAACATGCTGAGAACTAGTCTGAGACAGCCCCCCTCCAGAATTTGGGTTGGGAGATGGAGGAGCGGGGTAATGCAAGCTTGAAATTCATTCACATACATTATCTGAAACAACTCTTAGCTGCAAGATGTCAATCACAGCAAGAATAATAGTCCCGAAAGTAACAGCAAACCCCAGTCACATAAAAGAGCATGAAGACCAAAACACACATAAAACGCAAATCCTTTGTTGAGGAAGGAAGGTATTTTCAAGCCAAAATTTAAATTGGACCAGAAAAAATGAATTATTAAAGCAATAATTCCCCGTATATCAGGACATTATCTAATATCCTACAAAGAATTTGAAGGTGTCATGGGTCAAGTCAGAAAAGAAGGACTCCTCGGGAGAAGAGGAGTCCTGTGTAGCCAGCTCTGAAGCAGCAGAAAATCTGCAGACTTGTCAGAGTTCACAGCTGACAGCTGATGCAGAAACACCAGCACCTTCCAGCTCCCTTCCAACAGATGAAACCCAGGTGGTTGTTACGAGCCTCCAGTTTCAGCCACACCCTTTGAGCATTGGAGATGGAGGCTTAGAATGAACAGAAGCCAAAGTGCACATCTCCTGGCCCAACACCAACTGTTTGCTGATGATGAGTAGCTGCAGGGTTACTCCCAAACAGTTGGCTGCAAGTAAAACCTTCCAGCAGATGTTTATAAAAGCCAGTCAAGGGAGACTGCTTGGTGTAGAAGTAAGAAGTCATGAGTTGGTAGACTCTGTGATCACAGCTCTTGATTCTGGTCCACTCCAGTGACCTTTGGACTGGCTTTGGACTTGGATATTGGACCTGCTTGCTCTTGTATATGACCTGAAACTGCTAGACCTTGCTTTCTGAACTGGACTCTGCTCTCTGGTAACTGAACTTCTGGACTGAATCGTCTGTGACTTTGGACTCTGATTTGGCTTGCACCTAGACTCTATTTTTAACTGGTTTTATTGTATTTAATATTTGATATCTATTTATTTAATCATTTTAGACTGTAGTGGAATTCATTGTTGTGACCCACCCTGAGCCTGCTTGTGGGAAAGGTGGGTTATAGACTGAAATAATAAACAAGCAAGCAAGCAAACAAACAAACAAACAGAAGGGCACAATCTAAATCAAAGTTATTTTGTGCAGGTGACATCTGCTATGCATGAGTCCATCCAGGTGGATCAAGCCCAAAGTCATTAAGACCTTGTGAGATTAAGGGTTGTAGAGTATTTATTTGTTATTAAATGCTGAAACATGGAACAATTTACAACCATTTAAGGTTACCAGCTATTTGGGAGTAGATTTTTTAAAAAACCAATTAATTACCAATTACAACATCCAAAAACATGAACATAAAGATAGAAATAATGAAATGTAATTGTATGTTATTATGATTCTTTAGCTGTTGCAAATATGATACGACTGATTTAGATTAATAATTCATTCAGCAATAACGTATCAGGAAAAGATAATTACACAGTGCCACAATTCTCACGCTGATTTTGGTAATTACAGATTACAACAGTGTTAGCAATTTTAAAAAGGTTAGGGAGCGGCAGTAATTTGCCATGTCATCCTCAGCTACATTAATATCTCTTTCCTGGAGTACCAAGGATAATTGGAAATACAATAATGGGTCAAGAAGGGCTACGTGGCCTTACCCTCACATCTACTGGCAGACATGCTTCACACAGTACATTATCAGCCACTGATAATCATCTGTTCAAATTGTTTACATAACCCGTACATGCAGGATAAAGATGCCAGTAAAGAACAATCAAAATGATAAAAGAATACAGCATAATCCAAACCCATATGTCTGCACTTGTAAGATTTCAATGGGGCAGATTTCTACACTGAAACGAAGGCTACTTTCAAGTGAAGGCACAGGGACCAGTGTGCAGACAGGAATTAAAAGGATCTAACAGCAGATACGTAACAGGGTACGAAAAGAGACAGAAGTACAGGCAATATTGTGTAGGTTGAAGAGCCAAGAAACTTGAGTTTGCTATGGAAAGCAAGGCTGCTTCCACACATAACAGGATAATGTGCTATTGTTGTAGCAAAGGCTTTGTATGAATTATTTTTATTGGGAATGATAGTGCAATAACCAACAATGTGTGGATGCAGTCTAAAAGAAAGCCAGAATGCCTGTGACAAAATCACTCATGCCACATTTCCTAAGTGGGCACTATTACATATGGCTTGTCTATATGTAGAAACAGACCAAGAGAACTGAGAAATAAACTGGGTTGTAGCATGGACTGAGTTGGAAATACTGGAGCTCATTGCTTAAACAGAAGATTGTTCTTTGTTTATTCCTCTGAGGGTGAAAGCAGGTGTAACATTTTAAGTGTCTTAGAGTTGCTTGAGCAAGTATTCATTGTATATGAATGTGACAGTAAATGTGTGTTCAAACAACTTCTACCACAAACACAGTGCAATTCAAAACAGTTAATATTTTTCTAAGCCCACTGATTTTGATGGGTTTAGAGAGCGTAACTCTGCTTAGGACTACACTGTTAAAGTGCTGCATCTATTTCCACATTAGGACTACTTTATTATTTTTTTAGTGTTCTATATTATAAGAATTATGGTGCTGGAGAAGACTCTTGAGAGTCCCTTGGACTGCAAGGAGATCAAATCAGTCAATCCTAAAAGAATCAACCCTAACTGTTCCCTGGAAGGCCAGATACTGAAGCTGAAGTTCCAATACTTGGGCTACCAAATGAGAAGGGAGCACTCACTGGAGAAGACCCTGATGCTGGGAAAGATTGAAGGTCAAAGAAGAAGGGGACGGCAAAGGATGAGATGGTTAGACAGTGTTATCGATGCAACGAACATGAAATGAAGCAAACTCCAGAGCATGACAGAAGACAGGAGGGCCTGGCATGATGTGGTCCATGGGGTCGCGAAGAGTCAGACTTGACTGTGCGACTGAACAACAACAACTTATAATAATCTCACATATGAGAATACCCAAGGATCAGTGAACACAGTCAATAATGTCAGCATGGTTCCTAACTTTCCACCATGGGGTTACAAGCACATCCCAAGCAGCTGTCTCCATTAATATATTGTGTTTGCATACTCTCCACATACATGTTAAGCAGCTTACAAATGTCATTGTCTCACTCCATTCTTGAGCAAGGCATTAGAGCAGGTGGTTGC